GGGGGAGGAGATCGGTGAGTTGGGGAGGAGGGTGGTGTGTGTGTGGGAGGAGGGCGGTGTGTGGGGGAGGAGGGTGGCGTGTGGGAGGAGGGCGGTGTGTGGGGGAGGAGGGTGGTGTTGGGGGAGGAGGGCGATGTTTGACGGAGGAGGGCGGTTAGTTGTTCATATGTTTGAGAGATCTCTCGTGTGGTGGTTGTTGATATGTTTGAGAGATGTCTTGTGCGGTGTGCGGCGAGGCTGAACATGCTCAACACTGCCTCCCCTCCACATTATGCTTCCCTACAGTTGATGGCGTCTGGCAGGCCTGGTCTCAGTGGTCCTCGTGTAACACAACATGCGGCGGTGGCCGAAAGGAAAGGAAGAGATTATGCCAGGAGCCACAGCACGGAGGGAGCCCCTGTAGCGGGCCATCAGCAGAATATCTTAGTTGTAATGAGAACCCGTGTCCCAGTAAGAGTGAACATATATACATTTATATTTTGGGACATTTTAACATGCATTCAATTTAATTTAAATAAAAATGAATTAATTATTTATTCTATCAATATTTTTTTTTAAATAATCGATAAAACTATATTGACATATCTCTCAGTCACGCAACAGCATACACAGACACAACATAATTAAAAACTATTTTTGTAAAGACATATTATCATATCTGTGTTGTACCTAAACATTATTAATTTCAGCACGGACATATCATTATTTGTTCCACGTGTCATTATAAACTGATATGTTTTAATTTTATCGTTAGAAAATACACATATTTTGGAGATGAAATAATCAGTTTAGAATACCTAGCTAAGTTAGCGATATTTAATAAAGTCAATTCACGACCAATGAAAGAAACTCGGAGTAAGCTCTAGCCCTGTTATTTTTGGGAACCTATGCTTTGAAATGTTTTGACTATTATCATTGTACTGCAATATATCTTGCATATTTTAATCCACTGAACACAAAATTGTTAAAGTACATAAGTTGATTTTAACACTGTCGTGGTGTAAATGCATGCAGAAATATAATCTGTAGATTTTTTTTTTCATTTTAGCCATTACGATATACCATCATATCATTACTATTGCACGTATATCAAAATATAAATGATTATAACATCATATCAATACTATTGCATGTTTATCTCATTTTAACTGACAATGATTATACATGTTTCTTTATCACATGACTGTTGTCATTGTAAACATTGCCTATGTTGTCAGTATTTCCCGCTTGTATTTTTGGTGTCTTCAGAAGTTATTAACCCTTTAATAACTTAAAGGTTTTCCAGTAGGATTTTTAGCCCTCTAATGGCGTACATTTTATATCTAGATCGGGGCTTGGGAACCTATCCCTGATGGAGGGCCGCATTCATTCATCTGAGATAGGATAAGGTCCCATTCATTTACCTGAGATAGGATAAGGTCACATTCATTTATCTGAGATAGTTTAAGGCCACATTCATTTAGCTGATATTAAAAAAAAATCAAAGCTCTTGCAACGTGTCGTTTATTGTCATTCAAGAACTCGCAACAAATAACAGTACCAACGTATTGGAAACTTTGCAATCGCGGGTACAGAGCTGAGTACTGGAGTTGGTGAACACCCACCGACAGACCAGGCTCTAGCAGTGGTTTCGTCCGCATACAAAGAATGTATACGCATTTAAAAACGAAATAATGCTTAAAATAATCATCAAGTAGTTTTTATAGCTTGGACGTGGAAAGTTAATAAAAGATATACGGATTTGTTTTGTTTGGAGTCAGTCAGAAAGGTCACTCTTTAAGGCCTTAAGTCCGAAGGTTCTCAACCCCTCATCTAGTTGGTATTACTGGTATACTTTTCTCTGAATTAAAGTATCATGAAATACATGATCATTTTTTTTTCTCAATTTTAAAGAGCAATTATAAAAAGTTACAAAATAAATACACACGTGACACACTAAGCTTAAATAGTTTATATTACAAATATATATTTGTTTAAAAAGTCTTTTAATTAAAATAACGGTAGCAATGGAAATAAAATGACACATAATTTACCAAAGAAAGATTTTTTGAACATGTTAAGACAAAAAAATTAATAAAAATTTCGCCAAGTCGTATCTTTTTCATGGCGAGACCTCCATTTGTGAAACCCTGGGTGTTGATTCGGCTGTCATTTCAGTTCCTGGACTGTGGCTGCCGTGGACACCGTGGACGACCTGCACGGTCACGTGTGCTGGGGGCATCCGTCAGCGTGACAGGACCTGCAACACGACGTCCTATGGCGATCTCACTGCGCCGTGCCAGGGTCCGGCCAAAGAGAACGCCACCTGTCATACATTCAGTTGTCTACCCTTGGGTAAGTGACACTAAAAATTAAAATAAGTCATTGGAATTGTTCTGTGGCGCTGTCATTTAAATGAGGGAATAAAGAAAAGTGATTGAAGTTATATGAGGAAATAATTGGGAAAGTGACAATGGCCATTAGTCTGAAAGATACATAGGAGTAATTAGGGCCAAATGGCCAAACCACCCTTTGGTCATCATTTTGGCATCCCCACCTAAAAATAAAACAACCTCAAGACTTGTCCGAAAAATCCACCCTTCAATTCTTACGCTAGGCAATTCTTCCGCTAGGGTATATGTGTTAAAGAAAATAGATCCAGAAGTAGTGAATAAACTTAATGGGAAACTTAAGATACTTTTATTTAGGGATATACCTTGTTATCTGAACACCTCTTACGATCTCTTAACTATCTTTTACCATCTCTCACTGTCTCTTACCAGCTCTTACCACCTCTTAACACTTCTTTCTATCTGTTAGTATCTCTTACTATAGCTTACTATTTCTTTTTATCTCTTAATGTCTTATATTATCTCTTACTATTTAAAAAAAAAATTGATTATTGGACAAAATCATACATTCCGCAGCTAAGACTTGCACAGAGCTCGGAAGCAGAGGTCTAGTAGACAACGCCATGGCGGATATTGATCCTGATGGACCTGGAGATCTAACCCTGGAGCCAGTCGTGGTTTACTGTGATATGAAATCTCGCAACGGAACTGGAGTCACCGTCATTGGTCAGTTGGTAACAGTAGTTGTGAGCTTTAAAAGTTGGCCATACTCACTGGTGAGTTGGCCATGGTCATTGGTGAGTTGGCCATGGTCATTGGTGAGTTGGCGATAGTTATTGGTGAGTTGGTCATAGTCATTGGCGAGTTAGCTGACATCATTTTGTGAATTGGCTGAGCTCATTTTGTGAGTTGGCTGGAGTCAATGGCGAGTTGGTCACGGTCATTGGTGAGTTGGCCACGGTCATTGGGGAGTTGGTCACAGTCATTGATGAGTTGGCCACCGTCTTTGGGGAGTTGGCTGGAGTCAATGGCGAGTTGGTCATGGTCATTAATGAATTGGCCATAGTCATTGGGGGACTTGGTCACGGTCATTGGTGAGTTGGCCAGAGCCATTGGTGAGTTGGACAAAAATAATTGGGAACTGAACAAATTATTTAAACCTCAATAGAGAGCATTTGACCATTGTATTAAGAACACTAAAAAACAATATATACTACAATCAACCATCACTGTGTTGAATTAATCAACATTGCACTTTTGTTTGGACTCGCAGGTCATGATCAAGAAGAACGGAAACAGGTACAGGGATGGGAAGGAGCCCGAGAGTACCAGGCCAATCTGGCCTACAACATATCCTTTGATCACGTGGTGTCTATCATCGACCAATCGGAATACTGCGAGCAGTACATAAAGTGGGAGTGCCTGGCCGCACTGATCCACAACTTCAACGACAACAACAAGATCACCACAGGCTGGCTAAACAGGTAAATCCTACAGTCTGGCTGAACAGGTCAGTCCTACAGGTTGGTTAATTAGGTCAGTTCTACAGGCTGGTTAAATAGGTCCGTCCTCAAGGCTGGTTAAACATGTGAATGCTACAGGTTGGTTAAATAGGCGAGTCTTATAGTCTGGCCAAACAGGTCAGTACTACCTGCTGGTTAAAAAGCTGAGTACTACTATGGGTTGAGAGTTGAAAACTTGACCATTCCAAAAAAAAACAAAAAACCCACTGATGAATGAGAGAATGATATTGTTAATCAGATCCATTGTTCTCAAAGTGTGCGGTACCACCTACTCTTAGTGGATGGTGTAACAGCCCAGGGGCGATGGAAAGCCTGGGAATATTTAGGGGGCTCTTGAAGTCGGGAAAAGGGGCGCTAGTGAATTATATAGGAAATCAGTATTTTACTTTAAATCCTTCTTTTGAAAAAAAGAAATTGTAATCACTCTTTTGAGTGTTGTCGTCGAATAAGAATCTACGACGGACATCAAATAATATTTTATTTTACACACAGCAAAGACCTTTTGATCTAACTACGGTACATAGATCTGTAATTAGCACCGCGACGTTTTACTGTGCTAAGCATTATGACCTGACAACACTCAACAATGCTGGCCGTTAACTTGTTTCTAGAAATGAAGAAAATATCGTCAAGTTTGTTGGCGATGCTTCCAAAAAAAAAAATAAAAAATAAAAAAATATGATAAATTTAACAAAAGAAACCAAAAAAAAAAACCACACAAAAACCGATGTGGCCTGCGTGCGTCGTTTGATATGACCTGACAATGTTGATTGCTCGATCGGGCAAGTCAAAAATCACATGCCCAAAAGCTCGTCTCACCAACTCTTAGTTATGTTGCCATTTCACAGACCCCCGAATCATCGAATGTGAAAGGTTAATTATATAGGTAACTGTCGAGTATGAGCGTTCATTAGGAATTGTTGCGACTCAATATTATGTTCATTAGTTGTTGAACGCTTTTCCCGCGCTTGACTATTATAGTTAGTGAACGCTCTTCCCGCCATTGTATTTATGACGTATTTTTATGCTGAGTCGTGACGTATTGTCTATGCAGT